GCCAAGGTCCTGTGCCAGCCTGGGTAACCTGCCCATAAAGTATCATGAGACTCTTGAAGGAGCAGTCTCCGAAGGTTGCCTGCTTTTGGAACATAAATTCTATTCTCTCCGAAGTTGCCTGCTTGTGGCAATAAAATTCTATTTCTTCTTCGTTCATCCAAGGAAGATCATTCTTCTATCCAGAAAAAACTTGTCCTTGTCTTCCCTGCCTTTTGCCAAAACATAAATTCTATTCTTCTTCGTCATCAAGAAATCATCTTCTATCCAGAACTGTCTTGTCTTCCCTGCCTTTGCCAAATTCAAGATTATGACTACTTGAGGATCTTTGTTCAGTTGTGCTCGGATTCTGTCTTTAAGAGAGGTGGCGACCTGGCACCTGGATAAATGAGCAATTCTTTTCAAGGATACGAGTTCAGCTTTTCTACTCAATGCATCAGCTACACTATTGGTTGAGCCTGGTTTGTACTCCAAGGAGAAATCAAATTCAGCTAGTTTCTCTTGCCACCTAGCCTGTTTACTAGTTAGCTTAGGCTGAGTAAGAAAATGGCTAGTAGCTGAATTGTCTGTTCTCACCACAAACTTCGATCCCAAAAGATAGTGCCTCCGTTCCTTCAAGCAATCAACTATTGCCAACAATTCTTTCTCATGAGCTGCATATCGCCTCTCGATGCCAGTCAACTTTCGACTTCGAAATGCTACTGGATGGCCTTCTTGCATCAACACTCCTTCCAAGGCAAAGTCGGAGGCATCCGTTCGTACTTCAAAAGGCTGTAGCATATATGGAAGCACCAGTATCGGTTCTGCTATAATAACCCCTTTGAGACTCTCAAAAGCTTCTTGACAGTTCTGTGACCATACCCAAGCCTGACCCTTCTTTAATAACTCTGTCAGTGGCCAAGTCTTGTGTGAATATCCCTGTACAAAATGCTTGTAATAGTTGGTCAATCCCAAGAGGGATTGTAGTTCTTTCACGCAAGACGGGACTCTCTACTCTTCGATGGCTTGGATCTTTGCTTCGTCCATTCTAACACGGCCCTGTTCAATGACATGTCCCAAGAATTTGATGCTTTGTTGGCCAAAGGCACACTTTTCCTTTTTCAGGAATAGCTTGTTCTCTCGAAGCTTGTTAAAGACCAACTGCAAATGGGCTTTGTGTTCTTCTAAACTGTTGCTGTACACCACGATGTCATCTAGGTACACCACCACAAATTTGTCCAAATACTCATAGAATACCTGGTTCATTATAGTATAGAAGGTAGCAGGTGCATTAGTTAAACCAAAAGGCATGACAACAAATTCGAATGCTCCATACCGAGTCACACACAAGGTGCCATTGTAAAACCAAAAAGGCATGACAAAAACAAAATTCGACATGCTCCATTTACCGATGTCACACATGTCGTTTTCGGTTCCATTTTCCCCTCTTTGCTATGCGGACTTGGTGATAGCCCTGATCGGGAAGAATTCTACTTGGTGAATAGAAAAGTACCGAAGGCTCTGTCCCAAAAGTACACCACCACAAATTTGTCCAAATACTCATAGAATACCTGGTTCATTATAGTATAGAAGGTAGCAGGTGCATTAGTTAAACCAAAAGGCATGACAACAAATTCGAATGCTCCATACCGAGTCACACATGCTGTTTTCGGTTCATCCCCTTTTGCTATGCGGACTTGGTGATAGCCTGATCGAAGATCTAACTTGGTGAAGTACCGAGCTTGTCCCAACTGGTCAAACAGATCTGCTATCAAGGGAATGGAATATTTGTTCCTCACCGTTACCTTGTTTAGAGTTAGAGCTCGATAATAAATGCAAAGTCTCAAGCTGCCATCTTGCTTCTTCTGAAATAGTACTGGGGCCCCGAAAGGAGCCTTAGAGGGTCTGATAAAACCTGCCTCTAAGAGCTCGCCTAGTTGTCTCCTCAACTCTGCCAATTCTGGTGGAGCCATTCTATAGGGGGCCCGAGCAGGAGGTTTGGCCCCAGGCAGTAGCTCAATCTGGTGATCAACGTCTCGACGGGGAGGTAAGGTTTGAGGCAACTGCTTTGGCATAATATCCTTGTATTCTAACATCACCTCATTGATGAACTCGGGGTGGCCAGTGGGCTCTGTCTCTTCCTTGTGGATTGGAATTACTACATACGAAGGCTCATCCCTCTTTATCCCTTTCTTGAACTGCAGGGCCGATAACAGCTACTTTTCATTAATCAGACTAACTATTGCCGACACAACACATGGTCGTTCCCCCATCAGAAGAAGGCAATTCGCTGCAGGGATCGGCATGCCTTTCGCCACATTTAAGAAGTCCAATCCCAACACAATATCAAAGTCATCCATTGGAGCCACTGTGAAATTTATTTTCCCTTCCCAAGACCCACTCGGCATGGGACACCAGTTGCGACTTCCACTGTCTTCACTGCCTCTGAATTCACTGCCTTCAGCTTCCCCGAGTCCTTCTTCACTTATAGTGTGAATTTTGATACCATTGGACAATTCAAAAAGTTATCCGTAGCTCCCGTATCTACTATCGCCTTTGCTGACTTTCCATTCAAAAGTGAATGTTGAAAGGAGGCCTTGGAATTTCAGCTATAGAAATGTCCCAAGTCAGGCAGTAGTCAGGAATGTTGAGCCACGAAAGAACTTCACTTTTCGAGAGGAACGTAGAGCACCAGGAGGAAATAACATGGGAGGGGGAGTGGCTAGAACCATCAAATGTTTCTTTTGTAAAGAGCCACATAAAATGTCAGAATGCACAGTAAGGGACAAGGCCATGAATGCCTCCAGCTACAGGAAGAAAAGGAGCATGAAAGACAGGCTTCAGACTCAGGCAGTGTTGATCCCGCGGTGGTTGGAGCATTGAGATTCTTGGGGGCCTTGGAACGTCAGGTCGGGGAAAAGACTTTTAACTAGTAGTAATTTATATAGTGGTTTAAATTAGAAATATTCAGTAAATTAGATGTTTAATTTAAAATGATAAAAAAGAAAATTAGTTGTTTAATTAGGTGAATTCTGGAAAAAAAATGAATATAATTGTCAAAAAAATTAATTAATTTCTCTGCGATGGTTTTTTTTTTTTATTTTGAGTATTGAAAAAAGCGATTCAAATCTGGATATATTTCTAGGTGGTAATGTGCTTACCATTAAACTATGCTTTGGGTGTGCTAATTTCTATGAAATATTAAACATTAGAGTGTTCAATGTTTCATAAAAAATTATTAACTTCTAAAAGCTATTGTAAATATTATGTTTCACCTTTTTAATAGTAACTTACTTAGACAATGTCTCTACCTTTTTAATAATATATATAAATCCTTGCTTATAACAAAAACACTTACTTAGACAATGGCCTTATTATTAGTTTTTGGATAAGAGAGCCGATCGAATGGCTGCCAAGCTATGTATGGTGACTATGATCAACATATTTTATTTCTTTTTTGCATTTCAATCCCTTACAGGTTTTCCTATCGATTTGCTAAACTGTAGAGAATGTAATTTTGTAGTACCAATAATCGAAGGAAGGTGATAGAGAGAATGACTGAGAAATAAATTTGCTCTTAGTTTGGAAAAGTGAAAACAAAAGCAACGACAATATATGCTAACTATGAAAAATAGTAGTAATTCTAGTGGATTCTACGTATATATGAGAGGGTTTAAAACTTTTTGAAATTTTATTTTGATTATGATAACAAATAATGTTGAGAGATTATTTGTATTTGAACTTTTTTATATTATTAACAAATTATTAAATATATATTTGTGGCTAATTAACATACAAAAAATTAAAAGAAAAGTTTTAATTTAAAAAAAGGAAAATACAATAGTGAACAAAGAGAGCATTTTGAATTTACTCTTTGTTTCAGTTTTCATATATATGTTAGTCTAAATTACACGGAGAAATTTAGATTAAAAATCAGAAAGAAAAACAGTAGCATTACATAGGTGAAGCAAAAATGGATATTTTAGTGAACAAAAGCTTAAGTAAAGATTCACCATATATCTCTAGTTTTTTGGGCAATATTATGAACATTCCACCTCCACTTTCAAAGAAATTCTTACGTAGACTCACTCTACCACGTTAGCCATAGACTCACCCAATAAAACCACATCAACATCAGTTTATTTTAACTCATCCCATATCAGTAACTCCTAAACAAAGGTAGCTAGATTTCCTATTTCTAACTAAATAGAAAACGTGAAAGAATTAATAGAGAATAAGCTAAAAAAAAAAAAAAAAAAAAATAAATAGGGAAAAACGTGAAAGAATTAATAGAGAAATAAGCTCAAAAAAAAAAAAAAAAAAAAAAAAAGGGGGGGCAACTGCTGATGGTAAAGTTTAAAAAAAAAAAAAAAAAAAAAAAAGGGGCAAGCTGCTGATGTAAGTTTATTTCATTGGGTGAGTCTATGCTAACGTATTAGACTGAGTCAACCTAAAAATTTCTCAGTGGATCTAAAGAAGTTTTTGTTTGGACATCCAAATCAATTAACGAACTAGTTATTTATATCTTTTGTTAAGATCAACTCCAAATGAAAAGATCTAATAGTATTTTTTTTAATTTTAGTTTTATTATTTAAAAGAGTATGAATTCTTTTATTTGGTTAAAAGATCAATGAACTTTATTAGTTATTATTAACAAATTTCTGTTCCATGCGAGTATTTGAAATTTTTGATATTATTATTAATGAATTATATTTAAAAAAAAAAAAAGAAAAAAGGTTTTAGATCATTAAATTTGATATCTTGATATATTAACTATTTATCCTGGTTTAAAATTTTCAAGAAAATATTAATATAAAATTTTTAGGATCTTAGAATATATATGAAAAAATAAGAAAAATAAATTATAGCTAATTTAACTAACTATTTTTAAATTGTGTGAAACATTTTAGAACTATAATTTGGGGACGGTGAGTAGCAATAAATCAAATTCATGAAAAATTTAGATCGACAATTATTGTTTTCATAATAAAATACAAAAAAAAAAAGAAAAAAGAGAGAGAAAATGCCACATAATTTATTTTATATATTTATTTATTACATTTTTATTCAAGGAAAAGCTTCAATAACAGATTGAACAGCTGCAATGGATTTTATAGTATGTCGGCTAAAACCAGCCTGCTTAAGAACATATTCCCATTCCTCAGAGGTCCTCTCTTTACCTGTATCAGTATGAGCCATCATCACCATGTCCAATGCCAACCTAACGAACTCAAGCTTGTCGTCTTTTGCTTCATCGACCACAGCTTCAACAATTATCACCTTCCCAATTTCATTCGGAACACACCATGTCCAATGCCAACCTAACGAACTCAAGCTTGTCGTCTTTTGCTTCATCGACCACAGCTTCAACAATTATCAGCTTCCCAATTTCATTCGGAATAGCTTCCTTGCACTTCTTCAAGATATTGATACATTCATCGTCATTCCAATCGTGAAGAACCCACTACGATTTACAAGTAAATTACATTAAAATATTCTTGTTATTTAAAATATAAAAAAATTGTATAAAATCTTTTTTAGTGGAAATTAATTATGGAAAAAGCACTCATATGATGACTCTGCTTTTAGTGTGTTAAAAAAATTGCAACATGTTATGGGCTTCACCAGTAATGTTTCTGTGTCTTGGGTGACAAGGCAAGTAAACAAGTCTGCCGGCTTTTTTATTATATCTGTGACTCTCTAATGTCTCTCACTTATTGTTGGTACACTGAACTGTGAAGCATCCTTTCCTATTTATAGGAGAGGGAATGAGAGATAATGTGACACGGCTCTCCAGTTAGGCAGAAGGTTGGTTGCCAACCTTCAACCAACCTTCTGCTGGCCAAACTTTTTAAAATAACACGTTTTTCTTTCCTTTTTGTTTTTTTTTTTTAATCACGTGGGTGGGCATCACGTGGGTGGGCACCGCCACGCCACTAACAAATATTCACACTACTAACAAATATGTGGGTCCCACTTGCGTGGGCACACCACTACCAACAAGAGTCGTAAGAAAAACTGGAATACCAAAAAGAATATTCATCTAAACATATTATTTTATGCTCCATTTAGCCTCTCACCTTTTGAATTGTTTTTTATTACTATATGATTATTATCCTTTTGTCTTTTCTTTTCCATCCTTTAGTCTTTTCCGAGTCAGCAATAGCTTTTACTTGTCAATAACAAAGTATTAAAGATTCTTGTCAATTACATTAAAATATTCTTGTTATTTAAAATATAAAAAATTTGTATAAAATCTTTTTTAGTGGAAATTAATTATGGAAAAAGCACTCATATGATGACTCTGCTTTTAGTGTGTTAAAAAAATTGCAAGATGTAATGTTTCTGTGTCTTGGGTGACAAGGTAAGTAAACAAGTCTGCCGGTTTTTTTCTCAAGGAATTGCCTTTTTCTTGGGTGACAAGGTAAGTAAACAAGTCTGCCGGTTTTTTTCTCAAGGAATTGCCTTTTTCTTTTTTCCATGCTAATCTTAAAGATTTAAAATGGAAAAAAAATTGCTTATATTTGGTCTACATGCCTATCCCTAAAAATAGAGATTTTTTAAAAATTGTTTCCATTTTATCATTTCTTTTTACAACTGAATAGTTTGAAATATGATCGTTCCAAACAAAAAAAAAATTTTATTGATTTGGTTCATGAATGAGTCATAAACTAGGTTTAAGTGCCTTTTTCTTTTTCTGGGAGTTGCCTTTTTCTTTTTTCCATGCTAATCTTAAAGATCTGAAATGGAAAAAACTTGCTTATATGTGGTCTACATGTCTATCTATGGAATAAACTTCTAAAAATAGAGATTTTAACTTCTAAAAAATAGAGATTTTAAAAATTATTTTTATTTATTTCAATTCCTTTATAACTGGAAATTGGTTTGAAATACCACGTTGAAAGGAAAAATTTCATTAATTTGATCCATGGATAAGCCATAGGATTGGAATTTAGGTGGAGGGTCGCTTTGATTTTATAAATTATTTTTTAAATTCCCATGTTTGAAAGTCTTCATTGTATGAAAGTTTCTGGATTAATTAATCCCTTTTGCTTTCATTTTTTTCTTAAAAATTGTTTTAAAAAAAAATTTACAAAAAAAACCAAAAATGCAAAGCAAAAAACTGACCATTAAGCAATGATGCAGCATCAGCCTTCGGCACACTCTGAAACATGTCAACATCCACAACATGAGGAAGATCAAAGTTAATGCCTTGAATCCAAGGACAAAGCTTAACCAATGTCCTTAAAGCAGTCCCATTTCCTCCACCAACATCTACCAAAGTTTTTACCCCATCAAATACCTCTACACACCCTTCAACTATACCAGACACCATTTTCCTAGCATTACAAGCCAGCGCATCATTGATTAGATTGCTATGGCCAGGGTTTTCTGCTGCATATTTCCATATATCGTCGCCGTGAGCTGCCTCAAACGCCGCAGACCCATTTAGTCTGACACGACAACTTAGAAAATGCCAAGGCGCCAGCATCACCGGACTGTTCTCTAGTAAAAACAGAGCCGTCATGTTGTTCTCGCCTGGGCCAAGTAACCGGCGAGACAGAGGTGTCTGTATATAGCCTTTGGTGCCATCGGCGGTGAGTTGCTCTTTGAAAATATTGTGATGGACTAAGAACCGCATGATGCGGTGAAGATAAGATGGGTTACATTCAATGGTGGATGATAAGTCAGTTAGCGTGATGGGTCCTTGATGGTTTTCAATAGCATTTGCTATTCCGAGCTCCAAGGCACACTTAACCACTGCAATATTGCTAAACCCAAACATATATTTCCACATTTCAATTTCCATCTGTGCTTCTTCTTCTTCTTGTTTTTCCCTCATTTTTGAATCTCTTTTTTTGTTTTTCGGAAAGCTACAAAATAGAAAACGAATATTGTGTTACTTTGGGTAAAACGAGTTGTGCCGCGGCATGGCACCACGGCTTCTACTTATAATGAATTGCCGTGTGACACCTTTAGGTTGGAACTTTAATTAATTATATTTTAAAATTATAAAATATTGCTAAGTCTAAAAATTTATTTGCCACCACTAAAAAATTGAAAGTTAAAAAAAAAACATTTTCCAATGCTATTGTTTATTTAATCTGTAAAAGTCTGATGTGTTAAAAAAAAAAAAACATTGTCCATCACGCTCTCTATTTTTAGAAGATCTGTTAGACATCGTGACTCAACTTTTTATTATTTTCTCCTATTTATTCATTTTTTCTTTTTTTTTTTTTAATTTTTCTTTTATGTCTTCTCTTTTATTAGCGTTCAAATTTTTTCTCGTAATGAAACTAATTTCTTCTCCATGCTCAAGCAAAAAAATATAAAGTTGTGGTCGGTTGTCTATCTAACAAATTATCAACATTGGATGTGCCAAGTAAGAATTTACAGTGCAAAAGAAAAGCCCTGGTAATTGAAGTGAAGGAACTGCGTTCAAGTTAACTCTTTTTTTTCTATTCTTCATTTTAATTCTTTTTCGCTTTTTTGTTTTAATTTGATTATTGTTGTATGTTCAGTATTCGTAATTAAATAACTCAAGAATTAACCTTAGAAATTAATGTGAAACCAACTCTTCAGTTCTCCTTCTTTCCTATGAAGGGTACTTTTATTGTATATCATGTTTGTTCCTAACTTTTTTAGGATTACCTACTATATGAACTAATTTTAATAGGATACTATTCCTTTAAGGCTAGCTCATCTTCTATTTGTTATTTGTTATTCTAGCTTATAAAATCAATACTTTTCATATTTGCGTTTTAAGATTCAGCCACCTTAAGAAAGCAAATGATTCAAATTAGGAGTAACAAAACCAGGAAGGTAGAGAATATGTTTTTAGTTTATTGTATTTAGTTACAGATTTAATTTTAATTACATACATATCATCAGAAAATTTTAATGTAATCAAGATGCATTAGAGAGCCATTTTTAAAATATAATGTCTATATAGACACATTCAGCAACGTCACCATCTACAACTTCTATTATTAAGACACATCAGCTATAATCCATGGTTGTATTAGAGATGTTCTAATATTTTTTACAAGATGTGAGAAGATTAATTGGACAAATTATTATAATTCTATCTAATAAGTTTTTGACTTAATCACATATTATATATATATAGAGAGAGAGAGAGTTGTAGTAGGAATCAACTTCTATCACAGATAAAGTAAGCTGAAACAAAGAAAAAGTTCATCGTGTTCTCTTTGTTCAACATATTTTTTTAGAAAATTTCAAGCTTTTTCCTTATTTTAATTGGCCAACTTAATTAATCTGTTTAATTTAATATTAGTATAATAATGATAATTGCTTATAATTGATAACATTTGAAAACTAATCTAATCTAATTATCTAACCTAATCCAACTAAAAAACCTTATCTTTTAAATCTAGATAGATTTCTTTAAATTGCACATGCTATTGTATATAATCTCTTCCTCTTTTATCATTATATATTATATATTATGGTAAGTTTTCTTTTTTTTCTGGACCTTAGTTGATACTCCTTTCAAAAGTTGCATCCTTCTTCATAGGATTTGCAGCACGCTAAGGCAACATACACAATTTGAGGGAAGGTTCTTAATATCATTATACATTTTTTTTTTTTTTTCGTGTAAATCATCGGTATTTTGACTTTTTTACTAAAGATGGTTTAATCTAACTTAGGGGTTATTACATAATCCATTTTAGTGGCGTGTTTGTGAATTAGCAGTTGCGGGAAGCCTATCAAATTTCAATTTTATTTGTTTGGTTATATTTGTGATTCAAACTTGAAAAATTGAAGAAGGATGGAAAGTCAAAAGAGAGAAAGTATTGATTAAATGGAATTAAGTAAGATAAAGAAAAAAAGTGGAAAATCAAAAGAGAGAAAGATATTGGTTAAATGGAATTAAATAAAAGAAAAAAAGTTAGATCAAAAGAGTTGGAGACTCTTTTAGAATCTAACCATATCCATTTACCACCTAAATTTAATTGCATTAAAAAGTTGGAGATTGAATTTAACAAATTTGATCCGCCAAATTATTTTGACCTCTTTTTTTATTCTTTTTCCAATCAAAAAAATCGTTAAAACATAGAGTTTCGATTCCAGATTCTATTATTATTCAAGAAGCACAACGGAATGAAATTAGCTAAACACAAATCCATATACTTATGTTTAATTTTTATTTACATATAAGTAATTTGCTATTTATTTATTTATTTGTTTTGCTGTGTATATATATAAAACAGAATAGTCCCCAAGTGATGTTACCTATAGATATATCTCAAACTAATTATATGTATTTTTTTAGTAAACGATTGAATTGTTTTAATTAATTAATGGTACCTTATTTCATACCAGATCAATAGAACAAAGTAGATTAAATTGGACTGAGTGGTTTGAGAACTGAGAATGTAAGAATTCACAACTGTTGAGGACGTTAGTTTTACTATTAAAAAAGTTTTCCTAACTGGATACGCATTCCAAAACTTCTATATGGTTAGTATTTAATTAGTTAAATTATCATGTAATTATTAACATTATTTACCAAATGAGTGTTGGGTCTTTTTTTTCCTTTAAGTGAGGTCAAATGTTTAATCCTCAACGATGGAGCAAATACTTGCCGGGAGGAGATGAGCTATAAATTAATTCATATTTGGTAAAATTAATACGTAAAAAGTAGAAAATATTACTTTTAGAAAATGGAGGATAGTTTTGTCATAAAAAGTCATATTACGTAGTTTTATGGAATTTATTTGGAAATTCCACCTATTTTTATAGAATTCGGTGTAGTTATGTTCAATTCCATATAATAAAATTCTTCAAATTGAAATCTATATTTTTTTTTCACTCCAAATACAAAAATATAA